GAGCATCCCACCCTTGGTTTCAGGCTTAGGTGGTGGTCTCCGGGTTGTGGGCTGGAGCCCTGTGTCAGGCTCCATGCTGAGCTTGGAGTCTGCCTGGGACTCTCTCCCTCTGCCTCTCCCCCTCTGTGCTCACTCGCTCTCAAATAAATCTTAAAAAAAATTTATATTCAAATACACCTGGCGTGTGCCAGTGGTTCCCTTATTGAGCAGTTGCATATCTAAACTTTTGGAGACTCCTGCTGCTGTACCTGGACCCAGCATCCTCAGTCCACCTGGCTGGGGCAGAGCAGAGAGCCCCAAGCACTGGCTCTTAAAAAGGAGTCAGCAAGGAAGTGATGCACATCACCTCTCATGGCCTGGGCCAGAACAGGTCTCGCCCACCTGCAGAACCAGGCTGGGGGCTGCAGTCTTCCTGTATCCAGGAAGGGCAGGTGAGCCTGAGCAACTGGTGAGCACTAGAAATATCTACCTGGGCCCGTTATTTATTTATTTATTTATTTATTTATTTATTTATTTATTTATTTATTTATTTTTTATTTTAAAAGATTTTATTTATTTGTTCATGAGACACACACACAGAGGCAGAGACACAGGCAGAGGGAGAAGCAGGCTCCCTGTAGGGAGCTGGGACCCTGGGATCACGCCCTGAGCCAAAGGCAAACACTCATCCGCTGAGCCACCCAGGCGTCCCTCTACCTCGGTCCTTTTATTTTAATTTTACCTTAAGCCTGGAAGAAAAAGGGAAAGCGCCATGGCTCTATCTTTGCTTAACTGGGACAATGCATACCTTCAAGGAAAAAAAGAATTCAGCAGAAGACCCCTCACCTGCTGAACCGGGAGACACAGTGAATTCTTGTCCAACAGCGACACCGTGTGGCCCGCTTGAGAGCGACGCCCCCGTCGCCCCAAGTCACCAGGGCTTCCCCACGGAGTCACCTGTGGACATGGAGTAGTCTAGCCGAGTGAATCACCATTTTTGGCGTGGTGATACACTTTTATTTTTTCTTTTTTTTACATTTGTTTTTATTTAAGTTCATTTGCCAACGTATAGCATAACACCCAGTGCTCATCCCATCAAGTGCACCCCCAGTGCTCGTCACCCAGTCACACCAACACTCACCCACCACCCCTCCCACTACTCCTTGTTCCTTTCCCAGAGTTAGGAGCCTCTCAGGTTTGTTACCCTCTCTAATTTTTCCCATTCATTTTCCCTCCCTTCCCTTATAATCCCTTTCACTATTTCTTATATTTCCCGTATGAGCGAAACCATATGATGATTGTCCTCTGATTGACTTACTTCACTCAGCATAACACCCTCCAGTTCCACCCACGTTGATGCAAATTGTGGGTATTTGTCCTTTCTGATGGCCGAGTGATACTCCATTGTGTACATAGACCACATCTTCCTTATCCATTCATCTTTCGATGGACACCGAGGCTCCTTCCACCGTTTGGCTATTGTGGACACTGCTGCTAGAAACATCGGGGTGCAGGTGTCCTGTCATTTCACTACATCAGTATCTTTGGAGGTAAATCCCCAGCAGTGCAATTGCAATTGCTGGGTCGTAGGGCAGGTCTATTTTTAACACTTTGAGGAACCTCCACACAGTTTTCCAGAGTGGCTGCACCAGTTCACATTCCCACCAACAGTGCAGGAGGGCTCCCCTTTCTCCACATCCTCTCCAACACTTATTGTTTCCTGCCTTGTTAATTTTCCCCATTCTCACTGGTGTGAGGTGGTATCTCATTGCGGTTTTGATTTGTATTTCCCCAATGGCCAGTGATGCGGAGCATTTTCTCATGTGCTTGTTGTCCACGTGTATGTCTTCTTTGGTGAAATTTCTGTTCATGTCTCCTGCCCATTTCATGATTGGATTTTTTGTTTCTTGGGTGTTGAGTTTGGTAAGTTCTTTATAAATCTTGGATACTAGCCCTTTATCTGACATGTCATTTGCAAATATCTTATCCCATCCCATCCCATCCCATCCCAGACAAGTAGGTTGTCTTTTAGTTTTGTTGTTTCCTTTGCTGTGCAGAAGCTTTTTATTTTTATTAAGTTCCAACAGTTCATTTTTGCTTCTGTTTCCCTCGCCTTCATGGGTGTATCTTGCAAGAAGTTGCTGTGGCCAAATTCAGAAAGGTGTTGCCTGTGTTCTCCTCTAGGATTTTGATGGATTCTCGTCTCACATTTAGATCTTTCAACCATGTTGAGTTTATCTTTGTGTCTGGTGTAAGAGAATGGTCCAGTTTCATTCTTGACATGACACTTTTCAAGTAAATACGGGAGAGGGGAAAGTATATCTCTTCACTCTTCAAATTCTTTTTCTGGACCCCTTCCATTTGGACAATAACCAGTCCTAGCTTCACTGCTTGCTAGTGGTGGGTCCTCAGACAAGTCTCCTCACGTCTCAGGGTGATGATTCCGTGGAGGGAGGAAGCAAGGGAAATGGGGGTGGGGGATCAAAGCAACCCTAGGCAGAGGCTGGGCATCACCAGGGTCAAGTGCAGAATGAGAGATTTTGCCCTCAGTACCTCACGAGGTCTTCCCTCTGATTCAGAGACCTGCTTGCTTTGCCTCCCTACCCTTCCTGGTTTCTCTCCCTCTGGGGGAAAGACTGCACCCTCCTCTCCCCTCAGCCCTACCCCTCAGTGGTTCCATTGTTGCAATGCCTCATGACAGGCAGTTCCTCCCACCTAATTTTTTTTTTACTTCAAGGACATCTATTGGGGTGCTTGCCTGGTTTAGCTAGTAGAGCACACAACTCTTGACCTCAAGGTTGTGAGTTTAAGCCTCATATTGGGGATGGAGCCTACTTAAAAAAAAAGAAATTCAAGGACATGTATTGTTAAAACGTCTTGAGGCTGGTAGTCAGCTTAACAATGTGATCAAGGTTTCAGGATTGTTCTGTCTTTTTATTCTCTTTTCTTTAGCTTGTTGGGTTTTTATCTGCTTGTTTCTCTGCCTCACAGTGGCAAGATGGCCATTAGCAGCTCCAAGCATCACATCTGTGTCCAAAACAGGAAGGAAGAGGAAGACACCCCGTCAACACACATTCTTTTTTTTAAGGTTTTATTTATTTATTCATGAGAGAGAGAGTGAGAGAGAGAGGCAGAGACATAGGCAGAGGAAGAAGCAGGCTCCATGCCGGGAGCCCAATGCAGGACTCGATCCCAGGTCTCCAGGATCATGCCCTGGGCCAAAGGCAGGCGCTGAACCGCTGAGCCACCCAGGGATCCCTACACACATTCTTTTTGTACCTGCCCCCTTGCAAGTTTTTGAATCGAGGTAAAATACACATAACCTAAAATTCACCATTTTAATCATCTTAAGGTACATGATTGATTTGGTGACATTTAGTACATTTCCAATCTTTTTAAAGTATTTTTTAAAAATTGTTTATTCGTGAGAGACACACAGAGAGAGGCAGAGACACAGGCAGAGGGAGAAGCAGGCCCCACGCAGGGAGCCAGACACAGGACTTGATCCTGGGTCTCCAGGATCACGCCCTGGGCTGAAGGTGGTGCTTAATCATTGAGCCACCCGGGCTGCCGAAGGATAGAAGTTTATTAAGTAAAGATACAGAGAAGGCTCTCAGAAGTGACAGGGGTCCCAAAGGGGTTGCCTTTACCCTTTCTTTTTAAAGGACCAGTGTGAACCCATCCAGTTTTACATTATATATTCCCAACGACGTATTTCAAGCTGTCGCAGGTGTCCTTTTTTGAGGCTCACATTGAAGCTTCTTGGGGGGTGACCTCTGTGTCCTTGGGCACAAAACCCAGGTAACCTCTGAGAGCTTCATGTCTCTGGTGTGGCAAGATGTTCCAGGCTTGTTTTTTTCCCTGCCTCACACCTGGGGTCAGTGTTGTCCCCCCAAAAAACCTCAGGTTACCCTCAGGGAGAAATCTGTTTAGAGGCAATGACCGGTCCCCCTAGAAACCCTCTGAGGTGGCAATGTCTGCAGCAGTCAGGATGCCCGGCACTGCCCACCTGGCATGGCGGGGGCAGAGTCTGTTGGATCAGCAGGAGGAGCTTTTGTTACATCCTGGCAGGCACTCCTGCTCCAGGGACCTGTCCACCATCCCCCCAGAGCCCGTCCCGGGTCCCCCCAGTTCCCTTCCCTCAATCTGATCTAATTTTCTCTCTATTCTGCTAAGGCTGGCCTGGCCTGAAAAAATTGGAGCATTTGCTAAATGGGACCAGGGCAGGGTCAGAGAACCCGCTGGTGGGGGTGGGGGGCGGTGGTGACGGCCACAGGGGGGCAGCAGAGGAAGGGGAGCTGGGGAGGCAGCGCCCAGAAAGAAGGGGTGAGGGGTGCTCCCACCAGAGAGGGGGCAAGACAGAGGGAAGGGAAGGTCTGCAAAGGACTTGGAGGGGGTGGATTTCAGACTTACAGAAAAGTCGAGAAGATACGTACCCAGCAGTCCATTCACCTCTTACCTTAGCTGGGTCATTAATTACAGTGAATGAACCAATATCTGACACACGGTTGTTAACTAAAGCCCTTGTTTGATTCAATTTTCGTTAGTTTCTCCCGAAGGTTCTTTTTCTGTTCCAGGATCCTGTCCTGGACACCACATTACACGTCTCCTTAGGCTGTGTTTGGCTGTGGTGGATTCTCAGACTTTCCCTGTTTTGATAATCTGGGTGGTTTTGAGGAATACCAGTCAGATGTATTTTTAAAAATTTTTTAAAAATTATTTTATTTATTTATTCATGAGAGACACACAGAGAGAGGCAGAGACACAAGCAGAGGGAGAAGCAGGCTCCCTGTCTTATGTGACATAAGACACATAAGTCCCGATGCAGGACTCGATCCCAGGACCCCAGGATTATGACCTGAGCCGAAGGCAGACCCAGCTCAACCACTGAGCTACCCAGGTGCCTTCATTTTAATTTTTATATGCATTTCCCTGATGATCAATGTTACGTGTTTGTTGGACTTTTTTGCATTATCTTCTTTTGTGAGTGCTCTTTTGTCCGTTTTGAAGGCAGATTGTCTGTGCTTCTGCGGCACATATACTAAAATTGGAAGCATACAGAGATGATTAGCATGGCCCCAGTGCAAGGATGGCGCGCAAATTCATGAAGCGTTCCAAATTAAAAAAAAAAAAAAAGCTTGTTTGCCTTTGTATTGTTGATTTGTAGAAATATAAAAATATATCCCAGATATGGTTCTTTGACAGATATATGTACTGTGAATACGTTTTCCAAGTTTATGGCTTCTTTATTAACTTTATCAATGGTATCTTTTAATGAGAAATTTTCAGTTTTGACAAAGCCCTAAGTTAGACTTTTTTCTTTTCATGTTTAGTGTTTTTCTATGTCCTAAGAAAGTTTTGCTCACTCCAAAGTTGCTCACTCCATATTCTTCTATGGATGCTTCTAGAAGCTTCCTGATTCCAGCTTCTCCTCTGGAGTAAGGTGGGCATCAAGGTTCATTTTTTCCCCACAAATAAATAAATGTTCAATTGCTTCAGTACCATTGTTATATCCCCCCAGTGAATGGACCTGATGCTTTGTTCAAGACAGGCTGATTACATAGGAGGACTTATTTCTGGATATTCTCTTTTGTTTCATTGACTTATTTGTTGATCCCTATGACATAAGACACTTTCTTGGCTACTGTGATTTTAAAATCAATGTTGAAATTAGATAGTGTAAGTTCCTTCCCCACTTTTTTCTTTCTTTCTTTCTTTCTTTCTTTCTTTCTTTCTTTCTTTCTTTCTTTCTTCTCTTTCTTTCTTATTTCTTTCTTTTCTTCTTTCTTCTTTTTTTTTGAGATTGTTTGGGTATACTAGATCTTCTGCATTTTCATCTAATTTCAGGATCATCTTGTCAATTTCTTCAAAATGCCTTGCTGATATTTTTATTGAGATTGCACTGAATAGTTGGATTTGAGGAGAATATCCACAATCATGGGATGTCTTTCTATTTATGCAGGGCTTCTTTAATTTCTCTCAGCAATGTTTTGATAATTGTGGTATCTTGCATATTTTTAAAAATATTTTATTTTTAGGTAATCTCTACACTCAAGTTGGGGCTTGAGCTCACAACCCTGAGATCAAGAGTTGCATGCTCTATGGACTGAGCCAGCCAGGTGCTCCATCTTGCACATCTTTCATAAGTTTTCTTTTTTTTTAAGATTTTATTTATTTATTTATGTGAGAGAGAGAGAGAGAGAGAGAGAGAGAGAGAGAGAGAGAGAGAGAGAGAGAGAGAAACACAGGCAGAGGGAGAAGCAGGCTCCATGCGGGGAGCCTGATGTGGGACTCGATCCCAGGACCCCAGGATCATGCCCTGGGCTGAAGGTGGCGCTAAACCGCTGAGCCACCCAGGCTGCCCTATTAGCTTTATAGGTACTTATTTTGTGCTGGTCTCAGCTTATTAATAACCAATGCTGTGGCTGGACCAACCCTTGTGGTTATTATGATTGCAAGATGCCCTTCACCAATAATCATCAGGAAACTCTGAAAAAATAACTTTATTACTTACAGGACATGAGAATTCCATGGCACACCTGCAGCCACACAGGGAGATTGTGGGTAAAGAGAGCACGGGCCTGTGGTTCTATTTTGGGGGAGGTAAAGAATGGGGACCTCAGGTTTCAAGGGCTCACTCTTTCTTGGTGAATTTAAAACATGAGAGCAGAATTTAAATCGTGAGAAGGGAAAAAAGAAGTGGCCCCCATGGCCAGTTATGGAAATCAACCAAGATCTCTAAAGCAAAGGAAGGATTGGAAGGCAGAGGTGTGGGGGGCACCGGCTGGCATTGTGTTTATTTTAAAAGCCATCTTTTTTTTTTTTAAAGATTTTATTTATCTATTAGAGAGAGAGAGAGAGATTGAGTGAGTACAAGCAGGGGGAGGAGCACAGGGAGAGGGAGAAGCAGGCTCCTTACTTTTTTTTTTTTTTTCCGTGTTGCAGGCTCCTTACTGAGCAGGGAGCCCAACACAGGGCTCCATCCCAGGACCCTGGGATCATGATCCAAGCCAAAGGCAGATGCTTAACTGACTGAGCTGCCCAGGTGCCTCCAAGGAGCCATCTGGGGGGCTCGATCTCATGATCCTGAGATCATGACTTGACCTGAAATCAAGAGTTGGATGCTCAATCGACTGAGCCGCTCAGTGTCCCTACTTTTATGTTTTTTTCATTGCTATTATAAATAGTATTATTTAAAAACACTCTTTTCCAATTTTTCACTGGTACTGTACAGAAATACAATCCATTTTTGTTTATTGTGTCCTGGGAACTTGCAAAATTCATTTATTAGTTCCAGTGGTTTGCGTGTGTGTATTCCATAGAGTGTTTCCTATTTCAACTATTTATTGAAGATATGGGTTTTTTTGAAGATATAAAAATTTTAAAAATTTTTAATTTTTTAAAAAAGATTTTATTTATTCATGGAGGACACACAGAGAAAGGCAGAGATATAGGTAGACGGAGAAGCAGGCTCCTTGCAGGGAGCCCAATGCGGGGACTCAATCCCAGGACCCTGGGATCACACCCTAAGCCAAAGGCAGATGCTCAACTCAGGCATCCCTCTTTTTTTTTAAAGCTTAAAAAACCCTACTTCTATGGCAAGAAATTTCAAATATACAAAAGGGAATAGATATAATAAAAAACATACATTTCCATCCCATCCCTCTTCCCAGAGAAGGGATCTAGTTGTGGGGCTGAGGGCACTGCTAAGAGAACAAGAAGATGAGGGTTAACAAATTTTTTTTTTCAAAAGTAAAACACTTTAAGGAAGAAAAAAAAAAAGCCTAATAAGCAACTCAGTGCAATCGGCTGAAGCACTTTAAAACCAGTAAGTATCTGTGACAGCAAGGAAAACATGACCATGAAACGTTTCACTATGGACATACAAAAAAAAAACCCTGAATATATTAAGTGTATACAACCTGATGAATTTGGAGACAGATATACTTATTTTAATTAAAAATGTGAATGCCACCAAGTATGTCTGTGAGCACCTACGGGGTGTTGCGTCCACTGCCCAGTCATTGCCGGGGACAGCCGGGGAGAGATTTGCATCTCTGTCCCAGAGTATTTTGCATCTCTGGGATCTTCTGTGGGGAAGCAGGTCCTAGATGCCCCTTGAGGACATCCACTGGTGTGACCAATGTCTCACAGCCATCAAGGAGGCGCGAGAAGATGTGAGCAGGTGCCTGAGAAGGTTTTTTTTTTTTTTTTTTTTAACCATCATCTGCCAATATGTCCTGTGTCCCCTTCAGCTCTCCTCTGACCTGGCTGAGATTCTGCAGATGCTGACCTGGCCCAACAAGGTGGAGGCAGGTGGTAAGTCAGGTCAAGGCCAAGGAAACCGGCTGCGGGGGAGGGGAGACCAGAGAAAGAGGGCAGGGAAAACATGGGTGTATGCAGGGCGGGGAAGTGGGGGGGAGAGAAGAGCTGTGGGGTTGGGGGCCTGTCTGGTGACGGAAGAATAAGACCCCCCCATTTCCTAGGCTCTTCCTGTAAGGCTCTGTGCTGAGCGTATAAATGGCACATTCCATACGACTCACACCCATGCACGTGGAGAGGTGTGGTTGTTACCCAAAGTCTCATGGATGTCCAGCTGTCCGCATGTCCTATTCCAAATAGTCCAAGAAGCAGACGGGCTTGGCACAATTTGCTAGTGCAGAAGGTTGAGAGCTACCCTCTCCAGCCTGGTGCTTGCTTGCTCAGCTCGGGTGCTTGCTGTCTTCTTGGAAAGGTGCTCGAACGCTCTGATACTTGGTGTGACCTTCTGTAGGCAAGGGATTAAGCTGCCTGCCTTAAAGGACCTTTTTGTAAGAATATTAGAGCATATAGGACAGCTGCTGTCACATGGGAAGTGACCCATGGTGGGGGAGGGGGGCTGCATGTTCTGGTTTTGAGAGCAAGAAACTCCAGTCCCTCAGTTTCTCCTTCTTTCTGCCCCCCTCCCCTCTACCCCTATGTCTCCCCACCCTTCAGTCTCCTTCTGGGGCCTTGTGTGTTTTTCTGTGTACATTCCTACCATGGGCTCTGATAAGCAGGTGGGGTTTCATTATATCCTGTCAGTTGTGACCCTTCCCCCCCCAGTCTGTCACATGTCCCTCCAAATCCCTGCTAATTCTCCCTATATTTTGCTGAGGCTGGCCTGGCCTAAGAGGATTGAAGCATTTGCTAAGTAGGAACAGGACAGGTCAGAAAACTGGCTGTGGGGAGGCCCAGGGGCCAGGATGGCTGAGAAACTGCGGACAATGGGAACAAAAGGGAGTATGAAATTGATAAAGATATAAAGACCATGGACCCCAAATATAGACTTTGTAGATACTGACACATGCATGAAAGAACCCTTGACTTATGACAAATCACCAGTGTCTTCATCAACTGACAGGTGGAAATCCCAGAGGGGAAGGGAAAAAATCCCTGAACCCCTATACCTCACACCATACAGAATCAATTCTAGATGTATTAGAGACCTACTAAACATAAAACTATAAAGATTTTACTTTTTTAAAAAGATTTTTATTCATGAGAGATACAGAGAGGCAGAGACAGGCAGAGGGAGAAGCAGGCTCCTTGTGGGGAGCCCCACGTGGGACTCCATCCCAGGACCCCCGGGATCATGACCCGAGCTGACGGCAGATGCCCAACCACTGAGTCACCGAGGGACCCTTCATTTTTCATTTTTATTAATAATTTTAGTTTGCTTTACAGCATATCAGTGTGCCAGTGATAGTAAGGAATCAAGAAAATAGTCCCTAACAACAGATAATGAGAAGCACTGAAATACAGTAAAATAGCAGAAATTTTATTTATGAAAAAAATACAAATACGAAAACTATTTACAATACATTATCAAGAAAGATATAAGGATAAATGGATTAAAGAAAGAAAAATGGGACGCCTGGCTGGCTCTGTGGGTAAAGCTTAGGACTCTTGATCTTAGGATCTCTGGGTCCTGAGTTCAAGCCCCACATTGGGTGTAAAACTTAAAAAAAAAAAACGGGTTAAAAAAAGACACACCGTGACTATTCCTAATAATTGACTAACGTGTGAGAGGGCATACATTCTTGATCAGTAATGAATATTAAAACCACAGTGAAACCTCAAGTCTCAAGTCAGCAGACTGACTG